CGACAATTTCCATTAAATACTCCGTTAAATCTAATTTATCCAGCAATGATAATATACAGAGTGTTGATAAAGTATCCGGGAACATTCATCGGGTGCTTTCGTAACGGATTCTAAGACAAGAAGTTCGATTTCAACTTGTTTTGGTTGTTAATTTTTTTAAATAATCTCGGTAACTCTGACGCCATTTTCGCGAAAAAAGTATCAAGATTTCTCTTTAAAAAATTGTATCAAAAATTGAGAAATGTCAAAAATTGTTAAGGTGGCGTCCCTGAGTTCAAAATAAGCCGAATTGAAGCAACTTACACCTTAGTCAAAATTGCTCCGATTCCGAGATACAGAGGGGTAATGTTAGAAAATGAAAATTCTTTTTTTAATTCATGAAAATTTCTTAGCATACTTGTTACCCGAATATGGACATTTTTTCATTGTGGCCGATAGAGGGCGCTTCACACTCGTTTTAAATGGCCATAACTTATTTTTTAGTGTGGTTTTTTACTTTTTTGTTTTGTTAAAAAACAATTTCCTCGATATTTTTAAGCAAGAAAGGCACCCCTGTCGAAATAGAGTATGGTGAGCAGTTTTCGAGAAATTCTCAAATTTCAATGCAGGTTATGGGGACTCTAAATCAAAATACTCAGAACTTTACAAAAACTGAGTATGTGATAGATCCCGTCAAAATGAAGTTTTTTCCTATAATAAAAATGTGAATCAAATTTGGTAAAAATAGCTGTAAACTCAAACAACTTATTACGAAGAAACAATATTTTTTTTAAACATTTAAGACCCTGTATCTCGAGGTTTAATCATTTTTCACTGCACACTTATAGAAAAAAATGTGTAATTTCTATCCAGCATCTAGAGGACGCTAGACATGGTGTTTCAGTTTATTGTTGCATAACTTAAAGATTCGATAGAACTTTTAAAATTAATGCATAAAGTCTATATAAACATGGGTCGAAAAATACGTGGCTTCCGAAATACAGGGTGTTTAAATTTACTTTCTAAAATAGTTTTTTTTTTAATATTTCGAACAATATTTGATGTATAATAGCGAAAATTGGTATACAAGGGTTTTTTGGTACGACAAAACCAACCATGGGCATAGTTTTACTGTAGCCGCTAGAGTGCGCTCTCTACTGTACCTGTAGTGTATTAAAATGACCGAAAAATTTTTCTTAGTGCAATTTCTTGCTTTTTGAATAAAAAAACTGATCCTTCGCACTTTTCAACATAAAAAAGCTCTTTTGTGAATTTTCGTTATAGTTAGCCGTTTTTGAGATATTTCGATTTTTAAGGTTCGATGCATTTTTAATTATTTATGATAAAATAACGTTAAAAAGTCAGTATCTCGATAATTTTTAGAAGTAGGCTGTGTCTGCAAATATTTTTTGAAAGCAGGATAAGGTTAAACGTTAATTAGGTGACAGTTAGTTTTGTTGTCTGTTGAAACCTGAAACGTTTTTTTGCAATTATGAATGCACGAAATTTAGTTTCTTTTACCTGTTTTATAAAAAATCCATTTTTATTCTCCAATCAAGAGTTAGCGGATATTCATTTTTGTGTATGGCTTTGTAAATGGAAACGCAGCAGAAGCAGCCAGAGAATACGCACGAAGATTTCCAAACAGACGGCATCCAACTCGCTCAGTATTTGTAAGAGTGCATCGCCAAATAATTGAAAATGGTTTTGGAAATCTCCAAAGGGATCATAACATAAATGTTCGTCAGCGCAGATTTACCCGTATGATTCTGCGTGAGTTTGATAGAGATCCGACCACAAGTGTTAGGAGAGTTTCTGGTGCCTTGGGAATTTCAGCAAGCCATGTTCACCGTGTTCTAAGAAATGACCATAGACGTCCTTACCATTTGCAACCTGTGCAAGGACTACAGCCAGGGGACGGAGAACGAAGAATCACATTTTGTCAGTGGATTCTTGATAGAACTGATAATAATAGGGAGTTTTTAAGTATCGTTTTATGGACCGATGAGTCATGCTTCACTAGACGTAGAGTGGTAAATTTTCATAATCAACATATTTGGTCGCATGAAAATCCGCATGCAGTTCGGGAAAGAAATTTTCAGCATGAATTTAGTATGAACGTGTGGACTGGTATCTACCGTAATCGACTATTTGGACCCTACCTTTTGCCTGCAAGGTTAAATGCTGCGACCTTCTTGGAATCTTTAAAGGCTGAACATGCAAATATGTGGGATGATTTTAGTAAGTAAGTTAGATTTAAGAAGATTGGCCTGGTTCCAGCTTGATGGTTGTCCAGCTCATTATTCGAGAATAGTTAGAATCTGGCTGGACGAAAATTATCCAGAAAGATGGATCGGCCGTGGAGGACCAGTCGCCTAGCCGCCACCATCCCCTGACCTAAATCCGTTAGATTTCTTTGTGTGGGGATTTCTGAAAGAAAAAGTGTACCAGACTCCCGTAACCACAAGAGATATGCTAATAGACAGAATCAGGAATGCATGTAATGAAATAAGGCCTTATTTGAATAATGCTATACCACGTTCGATCATTCGTAGATGTGAATTGTGTATTGAACATTTGGGTTTACATTTCGAGCAACTACTTTAGATTTTGTATGTTTGTCCTAACTATCCAATAGCATTTTAGTTGTAAATAATTAATTTAATTTGTTAAAAATAATATTGGAAAATTAAACAAATTAATATTCTGCTTTTTTGGGTTTATTTGAAGTTAGGAATTATTGCTGTATTTAAAAACACAATCTAAACGATCATCTTAATTACTTGTAATGCCCAAATCGAAAATGTAAAAAAAACATATTATTTTCCCATAAATAATTAAAAATGCATCGAACCTTAAAAATCGAAATATCTGAAAAACGGCTAACTATAACGAAAACTCACAGGAGAGCTTTTTTATGTTGAAAAGGGCGAAGAATCAGTTTTTTAATTCAAAAAGCAAAAAATTGCACTAAGAAAAAATTTTCGGCATTTTAATACACTACAGGTACAGTAGAGAGCACCCTCTAGCGGCTAAAGTAAAACTATGCCCATGGTTCGTTTTGTCGTACCAAAAGACCCTTGTATACCAATTTTCACTGTTATACATCAAATATTGTTCGAAATATTTAAAAAAAACTATTTTAGAAAGTAAATTTAAACACCCTGTATTTCGGAAGCCACGCATTTTTCGACCCATGTTTATATAGACTTTATGCATTAATTTTAAAAGTTCTATCGAATCTTAAAGTTATGCAACAATAAACTGAAACACCCTGTATATAAAAATTTTAATTTGATCCAACTTATTTGACAGCGAACTTCTGGGACCTTCTGGAAAAATAATATGAATAAAATTAATATATCAAAAAAAAGCATCACAAGATAAGGTTTAAATGCATTATGATTTTTGCAGATACAGTCTAAGATTAATTTTAACAAATCAAAGCCTGACCTATGAAAAGTGGAATTGAACAGTTTAAAGTGTAATTAAATGAATAAAACTGATATTTCGCTTATTGAATGGCTAGAAATTAATGAACTAATCCTCAATTGTTTACCCCTTTTAACAAGGCTCTGAAAATTCTTCACTGGCCTTCCAAAAGTTCTGAAGTAACAACGGTTTTCTTGGAAGGCGGAAGTTCTTGGTTCAACCAAGCCTCATTTTTCTTCATAGGAAACTTCTTGTCTCTATAACAAGGTTTCCATCTAATTTCCACATTATTTATAAAATTCGTCATATGTTTGTTTAATGTTTCTACATTAATGTTTTTGTGGTGTAAAAAATATAACTAGCGTTTTTAACATTTAAACTCTGTTTTTGGTTCTGTTACAATACCACTCGTTCAAAAGTCTATATTTTTCATTTTGGTTTTTTCTGTCGCGCACTAAACTCTGAAAACTTGTCTACAAAAGTTGCAAATATTTGTAGTTAGTTTTTTCTTTATGTGTTGAGGTGTCTATAACACACATTTCAAACTTGCTTTTAAAACATGGAAATACCTGCACTTTTTTATCGGAACCCATTAGTGCCAAACTTCTGAAAAAAATAAAAAATTTACTATAAAATATGCCACGACAGCGCAAAGCGACTCTCAACATTCCTTTCAAATTCATTTGTTTTTCCAAACGTCAACTATATTGAACTTAATAGGTCAAAGCCTTCTCAGATTACAGGTACGTCATAGGGCACGCCTAAATTTTAACAAAATTTATGATGAAAATTGATAAAAAATATTTTTTTGTGTTGAAGTTAAATAAATGAGAGATGAAATAATGTAAGAAAAAAGAAAATGTTGCAAATAGGTAATTTTGGACTTCAAAAAATATTTAAGCAGAAAAACTAAAGAGAAAAATAATATTTATACTTGGTTACTATTTTCGCGGAAATGGTGCCTTCTGAACCACTGTGCGCCCTCAAAAATATTTGGCGTCAAGTAGATTGACTATACTTCCAACGCTTTCGTTGGAGGTTTCATAAATATTCGACCTCTGCATATCAATATAAATCAAATCAATCATATTTCTGTTTCCTTGGCAGACAAAGGAGAGATATGTGCAAATTATTGTCTAACAGGTGCATAGTACCACTGAGATCAGCAGCTCCTTAATAATAGAAGGTCTTCCACTGACACCGATTATGCAACAATTAACAACCATTTACCGCATCTATGTTTTTGTGTTTAGTTGAAAAATATCCAATTCACAGTATTTGGGGCATTGATCTGACGGATTTTTATTTTAGGTCACTGCGTGCGATTTGTATCTTAGAACGATTGCGCCGATGGCTTCTGTGACCTTGTACTCGGGTTGCTAGGCAACGAGGTGCTTCTATCTTTTTCTAATACACATATCGCATGCTTAACACGCCTCTCTCTCGTACACATTACGACGTCAGCCAAATTTGAATCTCACTATTACGCACTATCTTGCTCTGAACCAAATAGCACATTCGTAACTCCAAAATTGAAGTCGGTAGAAACTTTCAAAAGTGCTTCCAGTCAAATATCTCCTTCTTTTCAGGTGAATACCGTATTGGGCTGAAATTCAACGATGAACATATCCCAGATTCCCCATTCAAAGTCTACATATCGCCATCTGTGGGTGACGCACATTTGTTAGAAGTGGCACATTTCCCAGAAGGAAACATCCAAGCAGATAAGCCATCTCAGTTCATCGTTCGCAGAAATGGAGCTAAAGGTGACCTTGATGCCAAGGTAAGGGAGACTTAAGGTCCTTGAATAGAAAAGACACTCAATAGGATTTAACTTCGGCCCAACCACGGTTACCCATGATAAGATGTACCAAACGCTCTAGACAGGGTACCATCTTCCATCATACATGTATTCTTCCATACTTTGTAACCCACGATACGAGGGTGTATTAGGAGGCTTTGGGCTCCACAACTTAATCCGTTTCCTTTACTGACGACGGCGTTGTGTGGGAAGTATAGAGTCAGCCGTTTTTATCAGATCACCGATCACTGACACTGCAAAACATCTCAAAATAATGCAAAAGATGAGTATTCCAGGAGAAAAATGGGTGTTTGAAAAATGCATGAATAAAAATGAGTATCCGACAAAATACTAGGGTCCGTCAGAAAGAATGCATGTTTCTCGAATGGGTACTACATCGAGTGGGCTGGTCTCGTGTCGGTGGAGAAGGGCGTATTGGATAGTGGGAGAAGTGCCGTTTCAGTTGGCAAGATGGTTTGGAACCTTGAGCATCGTGCGTTCACTGTACGTCGGTGCGTTTCGCAATTACTTTCTTGTTCCACGTCGTGGGACAGTACCAGACCGTAACACCATTTTGAGATGGGTGGAAGCATTTCAACACAACAGCTAAAAAAACGCCAGGGCGAAACCGTACTGTTAGAACCCCCCCAAAAACGTAGGCAGAGTGAGAGTTGACACGCTGCAAAGCCCGAATAGTTCCGTGCGTTTACGTGCCAGTTACCTAAGGATCCACGCGTCCTCTGTACGTCGCATCTTGAAGAAGGATTAAGTGTTCCATCCTTACAAGTCTGTCAACAATATTGTTTATGAGTGATGAAGCACATTTTCATTTACATGGATACGTCAATAAACAAAATTGATATTGGTCTCCAGTGAACCCCCCTCTCACACAGCTCGCAATTCGATGGAACTTCTTCGGCAAAAATTCCCAGGACGTCTCATTTCACGTCATGGTGATATTCCATGGCACACTCGCTACCCGGACGTGTCAACGTGTGTTTTTTTTATGGAGCTATCTGAAATCAAAATTTTACGAAAGCAATCATCGGACACTCGTCGATTTGAAAGAGGAAATAAGAAGAGCAGTAACCCAAATTCCTGCGCGGATGCTGGCCGACGCAATAAGCTCATTTCGGGAGAGGCTTGATTCCTGGCTGACATAGTTTTTAGAAAGTAATTTTGTTTACTCAAAAAAAATCGCATATATTTTGATATAATAAAATAGTTTTCCCATACTTATTTTGACTGTACTACTCATTTAAAAAACATGCGTTTTTTTTGACGGACCCTGAGTAGTACAAGTGAAATGAGTACAGCGTGGACCCTGCTGATCTTCTCTAGAACCTTTCCCTGCATATACCGGTCGCCAGTGCATATGAACATCATAAATTTTGTAGGAATCTACTCAGTCGATTCCTACAGATGGCACCAGTTGAGCTAAAAATGGAAATTTGTTACAATCGGAAGACCGGGACAGATTTCTGTACCAAGCTCAAATGGTACCATCATTGCGAATCGGCTAAATACGTATCAAATACTGGCAGTAGGCTTCTATGAAGATTTGACGTTAGTGAAGATAGAAGTGGACATGTGCGGTGAGAGATGGCGCGTTTGTTACTCTTCATCAAGGGTCACCTGGAATCATGTCTGAGTTAATTTTTTGTTCCATAGATTGTTGGCCCCTCTGGACACGAAGATGATTGCTTCGTCCAAATTATCGACCAAGAAGAATATTCTGTCAGGTTCATGCCCAGGGAGAATGGTATACACAAGATCCACGCTAAGTTCAACGGGGTTCACATCCCAGGGTCACCTTTCAGTGTGAAAGTTGGCAAAGATACTGCCGACCCTGCTGCAGTTCACGCTTTCGGAAACGGATTGAAAGATGTTAAGACTGGTAAGCAAACCGATTTGTCAGTTTCACTGTGTAATCAAGAGCGTAACGTACTTTGTCGCTTCAGAAATGCGGCGACTTTTCTATGTTCTTTACGCTCTTGATAGAAATACACTAACAGATTGAGTACTACTTTTCTTTTATTAATATTTTCCATTGTGCTTTACGAGAAAGACTTCAAAAGAACAGTTGATGAGTAGATTTTTGGCAACTGGCAAGTAAAACTAAAGACATTTCAATCAAACATCTGAATAAACCAATATCATCAGCAAGGCGAATTCGGACCTTGACATTTAGGGAATATATTGGTAAAAAATCTTACTTGCAAATACTATATCTAGGAATAATAATGAAAGTTGCAGCACTGCGCAAAAACGTTTTCCATCATCAACACATAATAGAGAGTTTTTAGAGCTTTTCTTTGCTTCCTTATGATGTTCCTTATTTCGATTTTGTCCAATAGCGAGACAATCCTCCGTTATCCGTTATCTAAATAAGAAAGCTTGGTTAGTTACCGAGAAAAGAGGAGGGCTTATTTCGTGATGTATTTTCCTTATTCAGTTGAGTTTTAGATCACAGATACAAATAAATGCAAGGAAATATCATAAATGAAATAAAATGAATTTTCTGTTTTTTTTTTACTATAATATATGCAATGTAGCAGGTACCCTTTAATTGTAGCTCTGCAGGTTTTGATCTTCTATAATTCTAAACATATTCATTTGTTATCCGGTTTGGACACAAATATTACCAAAACATTTCTATGGAAAAATCGAAAAAATAAGCAACCTTTTGCGACTCTCAGTAGTCAATATTGACAAATTACCACGGTTCATTTTATTGATCATACCTTTTTTTTAGACTATTTTTCGGTAGATCTACATCTAGGCAGCAGCGGTGGCCGCAGTAGTAGACTCTTCGGTCTCCTGATCAGTCGCCGTGCGCTGTGCGGGTTCGAGTCCCGTCCCAGGAGAAATTTTTCTCTTGGCTATGGAAGTTGTGATTGTCCGTAGGTGGTAGATGGCTCTGACTGTCGAACGCGGAGGTACCACCCGGCGGTTCTCGTAGGCGGAGCCAGAATGTGTGCATGTTGCATACACACATGTTCCCTCGCCAGAGTCCGTGTGGCGTCCCCCCTTTCCCATGTATCCCCCATAGCCCCACGGTACCCAATGGGTGCTTAGGCCTTAGGCCTTCGTGGTAGTTGGAATATAAAAACAAAAATATTTCTCAAATTATTATGTGGTATATATCTGATATAATTCAACGAAACCCAAAAATAGAGAATCTTCGATGTACAACCAAGCGCTCTTCAAAAAGTAGCATGTCAGCATTTGATTTTTCCCCTACCCTCCGCTCTGGAAATATTTACCGTGTCATCTTCAATTGTTTAACCTAAACTTTTGCTGTTTGGTTTGTCTACTGAAGCCTTCCGAAATATTTCGCATAAATCTATCGGACTATACCTGACAACACTGCTCGTACATTCAAACGAGAACGCCGTGATCCAGTGTTGCCGAACCTACCGATTTTTCGGTATTTCTACCGAAGTGAGACCCTATTTGCCGAAAACGTCCCGATTTTTCAAGATTAATTCAAATATTTGCGCATAATGAAAAAATATATGTTTTCCTAGACGGCGATGCGTGGCGTAAAAGCTTCGTTAGTTACAGAGAATAGGGGAGGGCTTATTTTGTGATGTATTTTCCTTATTCAGTTGAGTTTTAGATCACAGATACAAATAAATGCAAGGATATATAATAAATGAAATAAATTGAATGCTCTGCTTTTTTTTGTTATAATATCTGCAATCTAGCAGGTAGCCTTTAATTGTAGTTTTGCAGGTTTTGATCTTCTATGATTCTAAACATATTCATTTCTTGTCCGGTTTGGACAGAAATATTACCAAAACATTTCTATGGAACCATCGAAAAAACAAACAACACTTTGCGATTGTCAGTAGCCAGTACCGTAAAATTACCACGGTTCAGTTTATTGTTCATACATTTATCGTCGATTTTTCGGTAGATCTACATAGGTAGATTCTACCGAACTGCCGATATGAATGCGTGTACTGAAAAATTTCTCAAATTCTTATGTGTTATACATCTGATGTAATTCAACGAAACACAAAAATAGAGAATTTTCGATTTACAACTATGCGCTCTTCAAAAAGTAGCATGTCAGCATTTGATTTTCTCCCCGCTCTAGAATTATGTACCGTGTCATCTTCAATTTTTTACCTACCTAAGCTTTTGCTGTTTGGTTTGTCTACTGAAGCCTTCCGAAAAATTTCGCACAAATCTACCGGACTATACCCGACAACCCTGCTCGTACATTCAAACGAGAACGCCGTGATCCAGTATTGCCGAACCTACCGATTTTTCGGTATTTCTACCGAAGTGAGACCTTATTTACCGAAAACGTCCCGATTGTTCAAGATTAATTCAAATATTTGCGCATAATGCAAAAATATATATGTTTTCGTAGTCGGCGATGCGTGGCGTAAATGCCCTTGAATCTACCGAATTTCAACGACACTATCTTCCGAATTCATCTTTTTGGGTTCGGCAGCACTGCACGTAAGCGTTATCAGTGGCGTACGGAGTATTATGATGTTCTCTTCTATTTTGGGGGCTTGATTATAGAGGCGACACTTAAATCTTGTCATTTTTTGTAATAGGTCAGAAGACAGATTTCATCGTGGACACATGCAACGCTGGCGTGGGCACATTATCCGTAAACATCGATGGACCAAGCAAAGTATCCATGGATTGCACAGAAGTTGAGGAGGGCTACAAAGTTCGCTATACTCCACTCGCTCCTGGCGACTACTATGTCAGTATTAAATACAACAACAACCACATCGTAGGGTCACCTTTCAAGGTCACGTGTAAAGGTAAGTTCGCACTGTTTTTCAGTTGTTTGGAAATGTTTGGTATCCCCTGTAAGAAATACAACTTTCGTTTTGATGGTGACCACTTTGGTTTTCTAGGTGACTCGAAGGTTGCTGACATCGGTGGACAAGAAACATCTTCAGTTTCTGTAGAAACGGTGGCCAAAGTGGGGAAAGCCAACAACAGCACAGGCCCTCTCTTACCCCAGTTCAAAAGCGATGCTTCTAAAGTTACATCAAAGGGCATGGGCCTAAAGAAGGCCTACATAGGCAAGCAGAATCTTTTCACAGTATCTGCTAACAACGCTGGTAAGTACCGACGCAATAGTGGATGTAACAAAAATGCTACACCGCCATTTCAAAAATAAACATCAACTTGCAATACATCGTTAACAACTCATAACAATATAACTGTTGCCTGATTGAAGGGTCCGCCAGAATTTGGGGGTAAATAACACAGTTGATGTACTGGCAAAAGGACTGCTGGGACCAGAATAATCAATTCCAGAACCCCTCGGCACTCTACCATGTTGAAAAGAGCACACCCACAAAGCTCACAAAAATATGATACGCCTGGCTACCTGTTTACTAATATTTTGTCTTTTTTACAGGTGCCAACATTCTTTTCGTGGGAATTCACGGACCTAAAGGGCCTTGTGAGGAAGTATACATAAAACACCAAGGACACAACCAGTACGCTGTTAACTACCTAGTTAGGGAAAGGGGTGATTACTTAGTCTTAGTCAAGTGGGGAGATGAACATATTCCTGGATCACCCTTCAAAGTTGAAGTTTAAAGCTTATATTTTCTCAAATTGCAGCACTTTGTTTTTCTTCATATTCTTCAATATGTTCTTGCTTCAGGCTTTTCGTTATTCAAATTTATGCTAGCTTTGTATAAAGTACTTTATTCGTATTATAAGTTTACTGGAAGGATTATTTCATTAATACTGAATTTATTTTTTTCGTTTTTGTACATAAGTCTTTTATTAGGATTTAATTACGCCAACCGTACTTTCTTCCCAAAAAAATTATGATTAAATTATCTACATTTAGAAAAATCGTATATATGCCTTATATTTGCCTACAGGTATTTAAATATGTATTATAAAAATGTAAAAGATATTTTTTAAAAATAAATTTATATATAGCGTAATCACTTTTATAGGATTTTAAATTAAACACGAAAAGAAATATTGGACACTTAATTTTATTTCATATACCTTCCCCCTCTTTCCCAGGTAACAGTTTCGCCAGTATTTCATGTCAAGCTATGGTTCGAACAGCCTAAGGTTATGCCCGCTACGTCATCACTTTATACCCTCTCCCTTGCGTCGATTGTACCCTATAAGAATATAGAAAATTGTTGTGACAGTCTTTGGTAAGATTTATGGACATCTGTTACCGCCCTCTTAATGTGGTCCAGTTCTAATCGTGGCGAATATTTATATCGTAGAAAGCTTAAAAATGTATGTGGTCTTCAATGTCCAGAAATTATGTTGCTGTTGACGCTGTTAAGGGACATCCCACTCTCAGAAAGCCATAGGCGGAACGTTTTTTAGTATGTAGATACGCAAGTTTCAGTCAGTTGAGATTGTTGACACAATTGGGATCTGATATTTTATATTTGATTGTGTTGAAAATTATTAATCTTATGGGGTTTGTGAATATTTGATGGAGATCCATAAATCAAAATTTAAAATAGTGAACAGGTACCTACGTATAATAGACACAATATTGAAGGATAAAACCCCAAAGTTGGCAAACAACTGAAAGAAATTAAATTAATCCTAAGACTGTGATCCGCTTATATCTATACCAATCATGAGATTTCCTAGAGTGCATCATTAGTACCTAGATAAATAGGCTAATACCAATATCAAGCGTAGGTAAACAAAATTAGTAGAAACAAATCTAATAATAACAAGTGTAAAATTGAACTACCTGGAATAATTCCCGGTTGCTAAATCCCTTCGTTCGTAAGTAGCGTTAAGAGGATGAGTGTTAATCAATCACATTTATTTTACCTGCAACAGATATATAAACCTGTCCGTTAGTCATAAGTTCAGTTTATAAACTAATTTGAACAAGGCACCGTGTGTAAAAATTGTCAAATAGATTGCAATATATTGGAAATTTTTACCATTGTTCAAATTTAAATTATTAATAGTTTTGAACCAGTGATCTAAACAATGTCTGTGAAAGAGATTGGCGTGAAAGGAAAGACGATTGGGAGTCAAGGAAAGGAAATTATCAACAATGTCAATAACTTCATGGTACAGGAAAGTGTAAAGGGATTAAAGTTTCCACTTCAACAGTACCGGTATGTATGAATGTAAAAGATTTTTATAATTATTGTCAATTAAAACTGATTAACCCATTTAGGAAACGTGTGTTAGCTGCCACGGGTATAAGTAAATGTACTTATCAAAAAATAGCTAAAGAGAGCAGAGATGGAATATATTCAAGCAACTTTTCATTTTCATCCCCATCTAAAAAGCGGCAACGAAAATCACCTGTTGTGGATAGTGACTGCAGGCCAAGTTGAAGAAATGAAAGCAATCATATACGATTTTTATATTTTGGAGAAAAGAAGACCTTCGCTGAAATGTAAGTTTTTAAATTGTAACCGTAGCATCTAGTCATATTTCATTTTAAGATTTTTTAGGTATTTACCAAAAAATGCAAGATCGACAACTGAATTTTGAGGGTAAAATAACGACTTTGAACAAACTTTTGAAACAAATGGGCTTTAGGTCAGTATTCATACACACTATAAGGTTTTCGATTTACAACGTTATAAATATAATTTACATCTACAGATGGAAAAGAACTACTGATAATAAAAGAGCTCTCATGGAAAAATATGAAATTCGCTTGAAGCGTATCGAATATCTGAAGCAAATTATGAAATATAGAGCTGAGAACAGGAACATAATTTATACGGATGAAACATATATACATTCTAGTCATACCCCAAAAAAAGGATGGTCAGATGACAATTATGACAAGGAACTAAAAACGCCTTAATCAAAAGGACAACGAATGATTATTGTGCATGCTGGTGGAGAATTCGGCTTTATTCCTAACGCCTTGTTGATATTCAAATCAGGTATTATTTGTGTTACAATGATGTAAAATATTTCCAATATATTTTTACATTTACTGGATTATATGTATGTATTTTCGTTTCAGGCTCAAAATCTGGGGACTACCACAACGACATGAATCATTTGAACTTCATGAAATGGGTAGAAAGCCAATTCATCCCAAATTTGCCTGAAAATTCTGTGCTTGTAGTTGACAACGCTTCTTATCACAATGTCCTGGAAGAAAAAAATGTAACGTCTTCTAGCCTGAAATCAGAGATGATTGACTGGCTAGAAAAACATCAAAGTCCTAGTGAAAACTCATTGACTAAGGCCGAACTATATAAAAAAATACAGGAAAATAAAAGATTTCCAGTCAAATACAAGTTAGATGCCTTAATGGAACAGCACGGGCATAAAGTTTTATGACAGCCTCCATATCATCCGGAGCTAAACCCAATCGAGGAGATTTGGGCTCTCGTAAAAAACTGGGTTGCTCCACGAAATGTGACATTTAGGTTGTCTGATGTGGAGCATCTGACCCATAGCAGGTTTGAAGAAATTGGAGCAGATGAGTGGAAGAAAATTTGTAACCACGTGAAAAAATATGAGCAAGCACAAATGGAAAAAGAACATCTTCTCGACGATCAAATGGATACGTATCAATTCAATGTGAACACAGGGTCATCATCAGAAGATAGTGACGAAAGCGACTCAGATGAAGATTTGAAGCTAAACACACTATCATCTGATAGCGATTAGATTTTTTAATGATAATATATAATTTGAATTATAACCGTCTTTAGTTTGCTCCCTCTTCTAATTCAAATTTGCTTCCGAACAACTTAATGCGCATACTAAATGAATATAATAATACAAAAATCAATTAATGATGAATGTCTACACAACCTATTCACTTTATTTTATACTTCAAATAAAATAGAACGCCACTGCGCTCTGTCGACGACCGCGTGATGAGCGGACCCGCCCACGATGACGTAGCGGTCATATTCTAAGAGCGTTCGAACCCTAACTTCACCAAACTATAGAGAAATGTTCGACACTGACGGCAGAGACAGCGATATCGCCCTCACCCTAACACAGGCCTCTCCAACTCAGGTGCTACCAATGCAGCGCCGTGCACCGCTCACAGCACAGTGCTGCGCTGCTGACACTCTGGCTGCTGAGGAGGACTCCGTGAAGGTGGGGGAGGGATTAGGCAGCGACATACGCATCGCGAAGGTGTTGTGTCCGTAGCACCCTGCGAATAGAAATGACCCGGGAGTTGGTGGCATTGAGTATACCTTCATCGCAGATTCGACTAAATTTAGTAATAATATGTAGTTTTTAAGTAAATGAACAAAAAGGGCTTGGTATGCCGATGGAAGTACCTGTCATACCGACTTAAAGATACAGCGTGATAAGAGAATTTCACATTTTCCAATGAAGCCTACAAGGTTTGATAGAAATTTTAGGCTCATTTGGAAAAACATGTTATGACAAACTGATTTCCGCCAGAAGTCGTACCGACTTAAAACTATAGCAGGCAATGCAAATAGATAAAAATAATACATCCTGTTTGTAGGCTTCATGCTTGCATTTAAAAGCTCATTTGAGTCTGTCAGCTTGACACCAGGGTACTAGATGTTTGAGAGTATATGTAAAATGAATATGAAACGTCATGACCGTTGATATACGTATAGGTTATGGCAAAATCCTACCGTCACGTTGTATCTTCAAGTCGATATGACAGGTAGTTTCATCGGCATACCAAGCCCTTTTGGTTCATTTAATTAAAAACTGCATATTATTACTAAGTTTAGTGGAATCGGCGATAAGGTTTAATTTCGCCGGCTCCCAGCCCCAACGGAAAATGAGTGCGGCGGTTCTTTTTCGAAAAGCACTGAAGATGGCGTTGTAAAAATCTCATTTGCATAAACATCTCAACGTCGTCAATGATTTCAAAAAAACTGTTTAGCACTTTTGCGCAGCTTAACCAGCGCGTAACACAATAAAAGGGTATGTCACCGTAACTTGCTTCCAGGTCTTTGAAAAATACTTCAAACTGCCGTGGTTGAGACCTTGCTTTCTGCAGAAATTGACACATGTTACTACTACATCCATAATAGATTTGAAATTACGGAAGGTTTTTGCACATAGTTGTTCCTGATGTAATATGCAGTGTACCGATATCAGAGGTAGCCCAGCGTCGCGTACTTTTATTTTCATTCGCCCAGTAAAACCTTGCGCTTCCGATAACATTGCTGGCCCTCCATCAGTAACAACACTACGCAAACTTTTGAGTAGTATACCCATGTCATTCATTGCGTATTCTACAGCATCAAAAATATCTTCTCCGGCCATTGTATCTTTGAGCGGGATAACGTCTGGTAGTTCGTCGGTGATAGTAAATACTATTTCGACACCTCTAACGAAAACTAATTGTCTCAAAGTTGCTTACAGGAGATGGGCGCAATATTTCTGCACACTCTACTAAGCATTCTTTGACAACTGCACCGTCAGTTAACGGCCTCCCACTTTTTGCGATTTCCAAAGCAACAATATAACTTGAATTACGACATCATTAATAATAATCAACTACGACCAAATTAATAACTACCTCTTCAGAATATCGTGTGACCAATTAAACATTTTGCTTTTCCATCAGAATTTACAAAAAATAGGCTTCTTCCATGCACGATTGAATGACATCGTTTAAAAAATGATGCACGCTAAAAAACCTGTCCACTTTGTCTTGTCCTATTAAGAAGTGGCCCGCGCCCGAGAGACAGTCGGCTATGTTTCTCTCTCTCACGCTGGCTGTGCGGTCGTGGTGGAGGGGAACGGCACCGGTGCCGCTGGGTTCAGCACCGGAGCGCACCAGCACCAAGTGCTCGAATTGGAGAGGCCTGCCCTAACACTTAAAGGGTACAGGGAAAAATTATGAATGTCCCAAAAAGTATGTTTCCCAAAAGCGAATATAAAAGTTTAAAGACTCCTAGACTCGTTGTACAGGGTGGGCCAAAGATCTGACGGAGTACTATAGATTCCTTATTACGAGGAATTGAGAAAAAAAAGTTAAATTATATATTTTTTGATATACAGGGTAACC